AAAAAAAAACCATAGTACAGGTTTGTGTGACGTAGTCGTAGTACGAGCAGTAGTACTAGTACTAGTAGTACTAGTAGCAGTACCTAGTAGCAGTACCTAGTAGTAGTAGTACCTAGTAGTAGTAGTAGTTGTACTAGAAGTAATAGTAGTAGTACAACTAGTAGTAGTAGTACTACTACTAGTACTACTACTAGTACTAGTAGTACTAGTACAATGCCCTACTAGGCATCACCTCAATCATTGCAATGCCCATAAAGTTTTTGGCTCACCAAATGTCACCATAATTGATTAATCTTGAGGATCCCAATTTTTTTATCCACTGAGGACAGCAATTTAAAAAATGGTAATTTCTACTCTGCTCTACTAGTAGTACCTACTGTAGTTCAGGGGTCATAATTTAGAGGGGTGCAGTGCCCATTGCATAAAAAACTCATATTCCATGTGTGTCCAAAATTGGAAAATGTCACCCCAGGATTTTTTGACAACTATATTTTTACTGCATAATACTAGTAAAACTATTCAACTTCTTGTGAGGAGTACTAGTAGTAGTACTACTACTAGTAGTAGTCATACTATTACTATAATATTTTTAAACTATTGCACCTATACCAACTTTTTGTGAGGATTCTGAATATACTATTTTCTTTGATATCAAATGCATTGTTCTTGTGCTATCATTTTATTTTGTTCATACCAAAAGACCATTTTACTACTACTACTAGTAGTAGTACTAGCTGTAGAACCACTGCTGGGGATTTAGTAGGCAAAACGGATGAAGGACAGACAATTTGAATTTTTGCTAGGGACTGGACTGGTTTCACGAAATTGGATGAAGGACAGACTATTTGTACTAGAATTGCAGTACTAATGTGTTGGTACTAGTACCAGCAGCCCTATATCAGCAGTACATCAAACAACAAACAACAAACAGCAATAACATCCAAGAAACACTTACTACTTGACTCTCAACTATATGAGAGATGTGTATATGAAGTTTGAAATCAGAGAGTGATTGGAAGTGTTCCTGTGTAGGGGGTCTTTCAGGTACACTTTTAGCAGTGAGGATATGCAGTAAAAATTAAGTTGTCAAAAAATCCTGGGGTGACATTTTCCAATTTCGGACACACATGGAACGGAACAATGAAATTCTGGTCCTGCACGAGAAAAAAAACTGTCGATCACCCCCTCCCTCTAAATTATGATCCCTGCCGTAATTATGGTACGAACCTAACGTACTGCAGGATTTTGGATTTTTGCACTTAATTTTTTTCAAATCAGAAAGGGAGAACCGGGAATTCAGTCTTTCTTTTTCCCAAAAATTCAAATCGACAATATTTATTCCAGTACACGTTTATTCATCAAATGGGTTTGAGCGCGATTCTACGATCGCTCGGTCCGCTTGATCACATGAAACGACTACTTAAATTTTTCAAAAGATGAGATATCACATTGTTTACGACAAACTACTTAAGGCACTTTGATGTGTCAGTTACTTGTACGAGTACGCTTACGTCAAAGTCCTATCATGATTAATCGGTAGCAGCCTAAGAAACAGCACGTACGTAACGGTACGAACTGCTTTGTCGCAGAAACATTTTTCTCACCAAATGGGTCTGGAAGAATGAACGACCAACAAACGGCAGCGACTTCTAGTCAAACCGCAGAATTCATTAAAGGTACCAGTTCGCATTAGGAGCATACAATAAAACATCGGCAGATAAAATTGAAGATGACGAGAAAAAATGGAGCAAGTGGAGCTAGAGGGAAAGTCTTCGCTTTCCTTTTCGGAGTAGTTGTCGGAACCCTAGTTACATCCTTAGTAGTCGTAAACCTCTACGCAGGCTCTAAACTTGAACGCTCTTTCCTACCTAAGCTTCAGACGCAGCATTTGCGGCAAGATTTCAATGAGTCGCAGCAGTTAATAAACCGTCCAAAACTGCGGATTGAGAAATCATCCTTGTTAGATCTTGAAACCAAAAACGACTCTGATACTTCGATTTTGATCGGAAACAATAAAACTCAGACCGACAACAGCTGCAGCAAGAGCAAGGGTAGACTCGATATAAACGAGTCGGCATCAAAGGAATCCCAGCTAAAGCCAATGATGAAACGATCGTCCTACGAGGAACCTTCTTTTTTCGAGCTGGCACGTACAACAGGCACCGACAAGGTCAAGGGCGTAGCGTATTTACCATCTTGTCTACAAGACGACTCCACATGCACTCGGCCATCATGTGAGCGAGAAAAATGTCGTCCTTGGGGGCATTTTTATCACACATTGTATCAGAAAAAATTATCTACGTTTTTGAATCCCGATGAAAGTTTTCAACTAGTGGAAATTGGATATGTGAGTATTATGACCAACAGAGTATTTCGGGTAGATCTGAATTGATGTGATGTACTTGTCTTCCAACTTACCCATTTCTTCTCTTTTGTTTCCTTTTCAATCCAATTCCATAAACAATAGAATCTGGGTTTCGGATATGATACTTATAAAAAGTTCTTCGCCGGCGTTCCTGGTGCTGAATTGCACTCTATTGAAATTAGTTGTATCGAACAAGGTCCTCGGGCAGAAGGAAAGTGGCCATGGGGAAATTTTGCGAAAGAAAGCAAAGAATATCAAAATCTCCTAGATCGAAATTTACTGCACTGTGGGGACGCTAGTGATGTCGACTGGCTGTACCAAATCTGGAACGAGAAAATTTATCGAAGAAATAAACTACTTGGTGGTTCTACTTCAGGCACACCACCACCGCTCAAAATTGTTGTCGATGATGGTTCTCACCTCGCAAAACACATGGTCCATAGCGTATTTTTCTGGTTTCCGAGAATTGAGCCTGGTGGAATCTTGATTATAGAAGACATTCAACCTATCGAAGAAGCCAACTTATTCCGCACTCAATTCTTGCCGCAAGCAATGGCCGACTTGCATTTTTGTGGGGATCCAAACCAAAATAAAGACGAAGCCTGCTTCCCTCAGTTGTATCGATTATTGCAGTCCATTCACTGTGAAATGCATATTTGTGTGCTGGAACGGAATGAGGTACCGGCTATCCCAGACCTTTCTATTGAAGATTCAAAACCTCCGCCGAATGCACTAGATATGACCCAGTGCTATACATTCGCCAATTCATTTGGTGCAGGAATGGAAGCCATATAGTCTACCTTCTTATGTAAGAGATTTAGTCCTTTTCACTAGTAGTAGCAGGTCTAAGCAACGTTTTGTTTTCATAAACATGAAATGGCTTTTACGCTTCCATTTGATTTGCTGTCGAACTGCAATTCTCCTCTTCGAATTGTTCCCTTTATTGATGTCAAATTTTCCATGTTAAAAAGTTCATGGACAGTCCTCCCCTTTTGGCACGTGAAGGGCATCCAGTGAGTCGTTGCAGTTACGTAAATACTGTGGATCTGGATAACCATGTGGACCACTACGTAAACTAGTCTTGTGATGGATGCTGGCCCACGTGATTTGATTCTGTTTTCCCGTAGTCAAGCTCGTCCCGACACGAAAGGTCAGCCCGTGCGTAAATGCATATTTTAATCGCTTAAGTAGCGCTCGACCACTTTCATTATGAGGCAAATAAGCTCTGCGGCTGGTGCCTGCATATCGCATAAAAGGATTTTCCATGTAATGAGCCTGAATTCCTTCCGGCATACTGTATTGTAAGACGATTACACCATCGCTGTCGTATTCAGATCCCTGACACCGTATCGAAAGATCAAGGGATATAGTCAGTTTACCCGACGGACTCAGCCCTTGGGACTCGGCAGCTATCGTTTCACGGCAAAATGGGCACTTGGTATGATTTTGCTCAAGCATTCCAATGATGCATGATTTGTGGAAACGATGTTTACATTTTCGTAGGCAGACAATATTAGTCGTATCAGTCAATGATGATGGCGACATAACATCGAGGCAAATGGCACATTCCTTTTCATCTGCACAACAGTTTATTACAGGTTCTAAGAATTGGGAGTAGTGGTCGATCATTCTTCCCATTGACGACTCTGCATTGTAGCAAATAATCTCGTCAGGCACAGAATGGGATGTTGATGCAAATGGTGCTCCCATTCCCGTCCATCCGGCTGCGGGATGGCCTAAAGGATTTCCACTTGATGCCATAGATCCTGCTGACAAACCTTGATCCTGGATAATCCATTGACGACAAATTTGTAGATCATTTGGGACATTCAATTGATCTAAAGCATGAGAAGCTATTGCAAGATATGCATGATCTGGAAATCCAAACAATGATGGACCACCAGTAGTTCTGCTCTTGTGTGGTAAAGTGAGGGACCATGCAACTTGATCGTTGATGCCCGTCGCTAGCGATCGCCCAACTCTGAAACAAAGACCATGGAGGAAGGCGTACTGGAACCGAAAGAGAATTTGTCTACCTTCTGTGGTATCTGGTAAGTACGCAATGCGTCGAATACTAGAATGCATATGATCTGGATGAGGGTGATAGGACCTAGTGCAAGAGTTGGATATCAGAAAAAGAAATCGGAAACACCCGAGCCTGAGGTGTAAGAGTAGCGAAGGTAGATATATACCATCAATGATGCAAGCGTCTAGTCTTACTTCTGCATGGTTGCCGGGATTACGTATTTGATTTTGAGATACCCAAAACAAGTACCAACACCAGCACGCGTGGTCATTGTTCCACTGGGACAGGTGCCAAAACAAAGATTATGTGGGGACTGCGGAACCTGATTTGGTGCGCTATAATGAAGGGTATGGGAAAAATATATCGTTCCACTCATATTGCTGGTGATGCTTTGCTCTCTAGTGATGGAAATATACGATTTCGATTTGTTAAAAAAGCCTCTTCGCGCTTAGTTGTAGATATTGGTTGGAGACGGTTTTCCTTGCTTCTCTCTGTTGGATCTGTGAATGTCGGTCGATTAGTTTCGTGATGACGCAAAAACCCCAAGGCAATCTTTCTGTGCCGTTATCGTAATTCTATCAACGTTTCTCAATAGCATCAGCCATCTTTCTGCACACAATCGAGTTGTTCTTTCCTTGGGAGGAAATGCGAAACCTCCAAACTTGGGTGCTATGGTGGCGTACACTAGTAACACAATCGGCAATCGTGCCGTATTGGAAGTCGAAAACTCTTTTCAGGCTAGAACTCATATCTACCCATCATAGAACGAAGAAGCACTTGTAATCAGCTTTGACGACAAACACGATTCAAAATCGTGCCTAGAGCAGGACTAACTAAAATACGGTAGATTGCAGAGCGGTTTCCGCCCACGATTTGTTCTTTCATTCTCCCATGGATTCGGATTTACGTGAATACGTGACTCGACTCATTCGAACGCGGCAATCTTTCATTTCCCGATCAGGTACTCGTAGTAAATACACGTAAAAATACGGAGGAGGCCACGGCAACGGTACCGGTATGGGTACGTACGTACGTTAGTTGTCGTACAACGGGTATCTTGTTGAATTTTGGGCGAACTGAAAGTCTGCCCACTTTTTCATGCTTCCGTTCACCTCTTTAAGAAAATAGCATCCTACTGTATTTCAATGAATTAACTGATCGATCTCAATCTGGGCAATAGACGAAACATACCAACGACTACTCCGAGGGATACTGACTTGATCCACATTGGCATCAAACGGGTAACGATAAACAATGGCCAAGGCCTGCTAGGCCGGGAACAGCAAGGTTTGGGTGGTGGATGAGAATTACTTGCCACAGTAATTGGAAGATTTGTGAAAACAGATCCAACAACGAACGAAGCCATGCACAGAACATATCAATCAATAATTTTATATTCGATAGTGCTATTCCAAATTAAAGGCTTTGTCAAAAGATGGGGAGCGACACTCCGGTAAAGATTTCGGAGGCGAGGATTAAATTTTCATCGTCTTTTCCGGGCCCCATGAAGAAGATATCCAAAACCATTGTTTGTGATGACGAGTACGAGTGGAATAAATGTATGTCTTTCTCGCATCAGAGCAGTACCCGTCAGACGTTACCATCACAACCAAGAAGCACAGTTGAAAGTGGCATTTACGAAGACTATTGCGAAAATAAACACGAAAACGATGACTCATTTTCATCCTTCTTATCGTGGTCTATCGGTGAAAATATTTCAAAATCTTTCGATTGGGCACTAGATTTAACGGCTTCCCAGACCTGCCAGATTCCCTTCAAGTTTTCCTGTCACCCAATCAATTTTCCGAAAACTTGCAGCCAGAATAGGACCAGTGGACACCGATGTTACCAGGCGGAGGAAGACTATGGTGATGTAGAATTGACATCTCTCTTAGAAAGCGAAGAAGAAAACGATCAAAAAGATAAGGACGAGAAACGACTATATATCCCATTTCGTCTTCCATTGTCTTGCGAATATTGCGGGTCTTGTTCCATCAAGAAATGTCACGAGTTCGATCCAAACTGTCAGAGACCCAAAACATTCTTTCCAAAAGCCAAACCTCCTTTCGGTCGTAACCCATGATTTACGACTAGAAACAAAGGGGGAAATAGAACTGATAAACCATAGACATGTATTAACATCGAGAATAAATTACGCTGCAAGACCAAATAATCATATTTTTTATTGACTGTACACATGTACTTCCCTCAAACATATTGAAGAACAATAAACTCGAAGTAGAACGATTTTCGCGCCTATTGCCAATATTAATGAGTTCCTAATACCAGAGGAGGATTAACTATAAGATTCGTCTTACTGATTACGACTCAATAATTCTTGCCAATAAGATATGGACTGAAAGATAAAGTGTAATATCTTTGTGCTTTCAAGCTGTAGATAGCGCAGAGGCCGAAATCAGCCTCGCTATTAGCTCCTTTTTATTGCCTTGGGTTGATAGTTGCCACGCCGCGAGGTGCTCCTTCATTTTGTTGGGTTTCATTGCTTTGATCTCTTTCGAAGTGAGACGCATACTTGGATCGATGGATGACGGAGGCTTCGGTGTATTCTCGTCGTTAGATTTCTTATTGCCTGTCCCTTTTGCACTTTTCGATGTTTTTTCAACGATTGCTCCTTTCGTCTGTTTCGATACTCCTTTAAGGCAGCCAGATTTCACACAAAAGCGCTTGATCGCTTCGACTTGTTTGTCCCCACCGCCGTTGATCTCGATCGTATTCCCTTTTTTTACACCTCCTGTTCCTAGTTTCTTCTTCAGAGTCGACAGCAAAGCGTCAACGTCTCCGTCGATGTTTGATAAAACGACAACTTTGTGATGCTTCCGCGATTCCACTACACACGGAACATTCCCCTTTTTTGTTGCCCGAACAGTGTAGGAAAGATTTGTTGTTGGCTTCGCTATCATGGAGTTGCTGACGGCGGCAGGAGTCGGGCTTTTTACGGCAGCACGAATAGGTGCCAGATTCGATGTCTCATTGAAACGGATGAAGTCGGCCATTGTAACGGATTTGGCACTCCCACCCGAGGCCGTTGGTTCTCTTTTGCTGGCGTGGTTCATTTTAATTCATTTTTCTTTGTCAACAATGAAGTACGCGTACTGCAGGAGGAAGGTATTTCCTCGCTTTAGGTAAATTGTTTCCTTACGACCGAATGAGTGCTTCCCTTCGAGTCTAGATCTCTGGTTCACGAGCGTTGTGATATCAAAAGTTACTCGCTATTCGTTAGGCTTCCAATTTCCAACAACCATACCGTATGAGGAGTACTCGTACCGGTACTTGTTGACAGAGGAATGAGACCGTCTTTCCGAGCTCGGGAATCTGTTGTTGGTATCATGATGAGTGAAGAGTGAACCATGGTTGTGTACGAGGTAACCATGGTTGTGCATGTACGTACGTATCGGATTCCTACCGTCTAGAATAAACAACTACGTACCGTACGGTACGTACTACAGCATACCGTACCGTGCGATCGTTGCTTACTCGTTCTCTTCCTAGGAGTCGTTCTATTATCTCTTACCCTAAAGATGGATCCAAACGTGCACTGTCCAAGTCGTCGACAAAAAAATAATATTAGTTATTATATCGCTGTAGGACCAGGACCAAGTACTTTTCTACGCGTATGGTAGTACCATTTGGTCCTGGACCACACCAACTTAAATAACACACCATAAACAGTATTTTCATTCGCTCCAGTC